CAATTGGAGTCCTGCCCGTTCCCCCGACCTGAATCCCATCGAGCAGGCGCAGGGTGCACTGGGTAGAGGCATTGCAGCACGTCCAAATGCACCACTGACCATCCAGTAATTGTCATTTGCGCTGATAGAAGAGTAGAATGCCCTACCACAATAACTCATTTCCAACCTCGTGAAAAGTATGGGATCGCGTTGCAGAGCATTTGCTGCTGTCCGTGGTGATCACACACCCTATTAGGAACCATGTCACTTTTTTTGAAATACTAGGATAAGTTGTGGGGAATTGTGTGTAATCAGTACCTTTCAATAAGAATGCCTTACTTGCTCGTACCATTTCGATTTTCTGTCAGTTGCTTCCTGTGCAATACCGTAATGATCCCCTGTTGGTACTGTATAAATTTCATCGAGCTCTGAAGTCTGGCAGAGATATAGTACTCGAAATTGGTTTCGTCCCTAAGTTTTGCACACCAGTGTACTTTAGTGGAAATCACTGCAGAAGAACAAAGTGATTCTAATTTCGTGGATGCTACGACTCGAGGAGAAATCCATGAAAAATATTAGAAGCTATTATTTCTAATTCTACTCACATATTAAGCTTCGTGGATGCTACGACTCGAGGAGAAATCCATGAAAAATATTAGAAGCTATTATTTCTATTCGTTATCGCTTTCAAAGCAGAGCTACATGGAGCGCTTTCATAATGATATACACTGCTGTGCATAATCATACAGTCACCCATGAGTTTCACCAAAACTCACGTTCCAGGGCCTTCAGGAAAAGGCTTATTATAAAAATTATGCCCTGTTAGGACCGTAAGTTGTGAATCCATCCCAATAACATTCCCAACATTTTTTCGGAGAAGGTCATTTTGCCTATGTTGCAATATGATACATTCCTTCGAATCACCTCAAATACGGTTGTTCAAACTTAATTAAAGGCTATCAATGAATTCATGGTCAACTTAGTGCCCCAACCGTTGACGAGTGCTTTCTTTAGCTCACTAGTACCTTCAACTGCTTGTGTCCTTCACGTCTTCCTTATGATGAATCGCCATACGCTTCCCATTAGAAGCAAGTTAGGGCTGTTAGCCAACCAGAGCAAAAGCCAGCATCACAGTTAAACTTTGTTCATCGAAAAAAAAAGACAACACGGAGTACGAAACATCATGGGGAAGATGGGTAAATGACAAGCCATGAAAAGGGACGTTACTCCTGTCGTTTCGGATGCAGTTCCTGGTAAAAGCGACCCAGTTATCGCGATGCTTTTCGGTCATAAGGAATGCCTTCCTCATTTTTCGTCAGCCATAAACTCGGAATTCTCTATAACGTTCCAGACAGTAACCCTCGGGACATTGAGCTTCGAAGAGGGCTTGATTTCCGTACATTTCCGTACGTCTTCGTCGTATTCGAAACTTCTCCCAAGATCCTTTATAACCTTCCGAAAGTAACGGAAGGCGTCTAATACTTCTTTTGGTTCCACACTCTGTAGGATTCCTGACGAAATTGTCGAGAAATGAGTGGCATCGGCCCGAGCGATCTTGCGATTTGACAGTCCCTTTTCCTCTTTTGCAGAAACTTGATCTTTCTCCAAATCGGATAGCAGATATTCTTGAAACTGGAAAACTTGAGACAAATTAAGCAATTGTGTGAGGTGAAAATGGAAAGTGACGAGGTGGCTGTACCATATCGCAACATAGGCACAGGGACCTTTCCCAAAAAAAAATGAAGGGAAGAGTTTCCATGTTTTTGAGATGGAACTCGTTGCTGGTCCACAAGTTACGGTTCACGTAGGGCACAATTTCCATCAGTCATGTGAAATTCATGGGTGGCTGTATCATTATGCATCGCAGTGTACTTTGGTAACATGACATAATAGTTGTTGAAAAAGGGAAATAATAAAATTATACACAAAAAATGAAGAAACAACCAATAAAAACTTAACCAAGAAAGTGCTCACCACCGACCCTTGCAGAATCGATCGACGGCAGGCATTTTCAGTAGAGCGCGCGCTTAACGCTCAACGCTCGGTTTTTATAGTAACCATAGGCTCACTAGTTTACTGCGATCGGTCTCTTCTTGTGACTACATGCGGACAAAAGTCCATATTTCCGACAAAAATTCTTATCCAAAATCGATCCGGGTCTAAGGTGTCAAATTCAGTATCAGCTGTGTAGCCCTTACTTATACTACTCTACAGTGTGCAACGGATACTATTGGAGATCCTTGCATGAAGCGGTGCTTAACGTGCTCGAAAAAAAGTATTGCAGAACTTTTCTGGGTGTGGTGCAGTAGGAACGAAATCGTCGGGTCGCGGTAAAAGAGACGCTGCGCGCGAAGGAATGTAGCAGCAAGTAAGAAGTACAGGGACAAAAGAACTAACACTAGAGTCATGCTAAAAGTAATAATCGCAAAGCGATCGAGCTGTATAAAGAACGCTAGAGCCGTAATAACGGCAAAGCGAAGTTCGCGACAGCCGCGTGCGGCGAATCGATTACACAAAACCGTTCCTACGGCCCGTCTCCCAACTTTGGGAGACGGGCGTTGGGCTCTAGCGTTCTTCATACAGCTCAATCGATATGCGATCATTATTTTATGCATAATTCCACTATTAGTACTTTTGTTCTTGTATTTCTTACCTCCTGCTGCATCCTGCTACATTCCTTCGCGCGCGACGCTCCTCTCACCGCGACGCGACCATTTCGTTCCTAATGCACCACACCCCCAACTTTTCTTGCCGTCCTATCTTTATGCCAAAACTGATTCACTTTAGCGACTGAGGGCACTGTGCAACCGTTCTATGAAATGTCTTGATAAACTCACTGCCTGCTCTAAAATTTATAAACACCCATTAACAAAGTCGAAAAAAATGTAAACACATCAAGCAGATCATGGCTGGCAAATATTTTTTTTACAAACAGTTCACCGAAAATACGACTAAGTGAGGGAGTTATTCTAGCAAATTGTACAGCCTATACAACAATCTAAGAACGCACTTACGAGCGATGAGTGAATTCGGTTGAGATGAAAGATTTTTATGTCATTATTAAGGTTTTTTATAGTTCTGGCAGTAATATGTACAGGACCGAAGATGGCATCATTCCTCCTTCACTTTCTGAACGCTTTCTTGAAACATATTCATCACACTTCCAATGTCTTTTTTCAGTTCTCTTACATTTCGAAGGAGAATGGGGCTGGAAATAAGTCATAAGCTCTATGTGCGTCTTGTTTGTAAGAGAAAGACGTCATACCTTGGCGAAGTTTCACTGAATTCGTTCT